CCCCCCCCCCGGGAGCAGCCCCTCCTCCCTCCCAGTGGGCAGAGTTAGCTGGGGAAGCTGGACCAGGAGACCTCCTAACCCTAGTCATAGTTTACATCACCTTCCCCCATGTTCCAGTGTAGTGCTGGGTAGTCACTTTCCTGGGCTTTATAAAGGCTCTGTTGTTTCAGTAAACTTTATTATTATTCTGTAGCTGTCAAGGTCTCTTGATCTCTGTTTTTCATGTGAGAAACTGAGGCAGAAAGCACTGGGAGATTAGCTAGTCTGTGACACATTTCTATCAGAATTTCCTCTGGATCCCCTACCATTGGGATAGGTACTGGCATGGGTTGATTTTATTTTCAAGATCAATTTTTTTTTTTTTTGTACCGGGATCGAACTTTGGACCTTGTGCTTGCAAGGCAGGCAGCAGAATCACTGAGCTAAATCTCCAGCCCATCAAGATCAATTTGTAGATGACTAATAAACCAAGTGTACAGAAGAAACCATGCTGTGATTTTACAATAGTATTTTTATGCCTAATAGTATAATTTTGTTCCTTAACATTTAAAGTCTAAAGCACAAGTGGGCCTTTGTACTAACTGAAAGTCTTGTATAGAAAATCTTAACACTCCCTTAATGTCAGACAATTGAGCTATTAAGAGAACCACTCTAAAAAGGATTGCAGAGAGAGGCAGCCTTGCCCCTTATTTTTCAGTGGAAAGAGGTGGAGAGCTGTTTCTTCACAGCTTTCATTGGAATTGGCATTGCACAGAAGCCTTTAAAAAGCTTTCCCTTTTCTCCCACTCCACTATTATTTTAATTGTTTTGTTTTCTACTGTTCAGCAATTCATAACAAACTTTGGCCTGAAATCTTGGCTAGAGCTCAAGTATCCCAGTCCAATAAAATACCGTGGAGTGCACTTGATAACTGTTATCCTAGTTGCAGGCTGGGTGATAAGAGATGTACTGAGATCACATGTGGGAAAAGGTGCTTCCTTTATGTCCAGAGCACATGCCCTGGTGATCTGCAGTGGGGTGTGCTGGCTTTCTGTCCCAGAACTCTACAAACATCTTGAGCTAAAACTAATGTCAGTCGATAAAAGTAGTCAAGGAAAGAATTATCCGTGACAAATTACTACCAGGAGAGACAGAACCTGAAGGATAGGTTAGAATAATAACTATTGTGTGAGAGTGCTCTGTGCAAGGAACTTTACTGAGTCCTTTGTCTGAATTATCCATGTAGTCTCTTGCCATCCTGTGAAGTAGGCACTGCTCCCCTTCCCATTGTTCCAATAGAGAGGTTGAGGCTTGAAGAGTGTAAAATCACATGGCTAGGAAGTGAAGGAGTCAAGCTTCAGAGTTGAGTCTGCCTGTTCCAGAGCTCAAGCCCTGAAATCACTAGGCTTTGGGAAGAGTTGTAGGCAAGCAGAGCAAGGGAAGAGTTACGAGGGACTGACCAAACCTTAGTCGGTCACAGGGTTGTGTGCCTGGACATTTAACAAGTCTAACATGGCAGACAGGGAGGTTAAGCCTTAGAAAGCCACAGTCCCTGATTCTTCTCCTTTCAGCCTGGAAGCCCTTTCATTGCTAATGCTGACCTTCCTCAGAAGTAGAGGTAGATAAAAACATGGAAGAAGGGAAAATCTTCTGTGCCAAATCTTAGTAGTTTGCAGTATTGCACACGATTGGCACAGGGAGGATGGGTCATAATATGAGTGTGTGATTCCACTGACAAGATACTGGGGTGAAGGGAGCAAGCTGCTGCCTTTCTAGAGCTTACTTGACAGGGGGGAAAGGCGACAACAAGTAAACACATAAATAATCTAGATATGTCCAAGTAGTGATAAGAGCCTTGGGATAAAAAGGGCCATATGATAAAGAGTGATTGGATAGAGGAAGCCAAGAGACTGCCTTTGAAATGTCTATCAGAGGAGCCTGAGAAAAGGATACTTTTTGCTGAAACATGAAAAAGGAGGTGGGGAGAATGTTCTAGAAAGAAACAGAGATGGGGAAGGGCATGGTAGGTCAAGGATCTGAGTGCTAGCCCGTAATGAACAAAGACAGGGGCCACTGTGAGCTGGGAAGGGAGCGTCAGAGAGTACCATATGGGGTCTTTAGGCCAGCATATGGAATTTGGATTCTATTTCAAGTGCATTGGGAATTTTTGTTAAGTTCATTTCTCAGGTCTTTTTCATTTGGGCTGTTGTAACAAATTACCATAGGCTGGGTGGCTGAAACAACAAGCACTTATTTCTCACAGTCTGGAGTCTGGAAAGTTCAAGGTCAGGGTGCTGGCAGATCCAGTGTCTGGTGAGGGCTAGTGCCCAGTTTTCAGATGTCCTTTTCATTGTTCAGTCACATGGTGGAGGGCAGAGAAAGGAAATTATGTCCTTTTCTTATAAAAGCACTCCTTACACCCATGATGCTGCACCCTCAGACCTCATCAACTCCAGAAGGCCCCACCTGCAAATATCCTCACACTGGGGATTAGGTTTCAACATTTGAGATTTTGAGGGGATGCATTCAGTCCATAGTACCATTTATAAGTTCAGAAAATCAACGTGAAGACTTGATTTGTTGCTATGTAAGGAAAAGTGAATGAAATTCTTAGGGTTTAATGAGCCCAGAGTTTTTGGAAACATTATTAGGCTTGCATAGATTGGTGAGTACTTTTATGAGGTAGATTTGGCAGCTCCTCAAAGAAGAATGTGCTAAGACTTGGAAACCTTAAATCCAAGGTCCATTCTAAGGAGCAAGTGTTTGTCCTTCTCTCAGATTAAAGGACCTTGTTCGGAACCATCAGCCAGCACAGAATAATGGTCACTTTTTCCACCCAGATGTTTTGATATTGAGAAGACTAACCAATTAAAGCATTATTCAAAAACTTCTCTAAACCTGTGCTTTCAGTCCCTTGAATCTTTGATTATAATGGGTAGTCCTACCCAGGGGAACTTGGTGCGTTGATACTCCTGCTTTAACCAAAATGTTCGTTTTAGTCTGGTTTTCTCATGAGACTATGCCATACACTAAAGTTGAAAATTACCTTCTCCTGACTTCATAGACTTGTTGAGTCCATTGTTTAGGCTGCTGTGTTATCTGCTTCTTTTACCACCTTCCCTACCCCCTTTTTAATCCAAGGAGAATTTTGAGAAATAAAGAAAAGAGTGTGTGGAAAAACATTTTCAGAAGCCTAAGCCCCTGCTGCTGGTTTCTCAAGGACCGTTCATGTCTAACAAACTGAGCTCCAGAAGTGTTAAAGTCCAAGAGTAATTTGTTTTCAAGACACATTACAAAATGAGAGAGGGAGGTCATCTAATGATTGTCTGGGAAAGGTATAAACAAGTCATAATTAATAGCAATTAAGAAGCCCGGGAGCCCTGGGTTTTATCCCTACAAAAAAAAAAAAAAGTTAAATTGTGAAGGTACCAAAGAATATGTATTATTTTTTTAAATGTATACTGTACACATCACTGTTAAACTAAGAATATTTGGCATATATTTTACAATCTGGATTGTATATCCTTGACCAAGATACTCATCACCATCTGGTGGCAGAATCCCTAAATTGCAACTTCGCAAGGTCCTGTCTCAAAATTAAAAATCTGGGGGTGTATGTAGCTTGGTGTGAAGGCCTGGGTTCTATATTGGGTTGTGGGGGTGGGGTGTAAGAGGATGGTGTTCAACTCAAGCTTTTGGTAAGAAATGGTTTTCTCTATAGAAATTAAGAGAAAATAAAAACATTATTTTTGAAAAGATATCTTGAAGATATATATAATCTGCCTTTTAAATAGATTAAGTCCTAGTTAGAGAAAGGAAACATATGTTAAATAACAGTGACCAATCAGTGCTGGTCACTGACTGTGAAATTATGTAGCATTTGTAAGACACCATATTGGTTGGAGAATGTTCGGATGTTTAAAAGTTGGGAAAGAATCAGAGAGGAGTTAAGGCAATGCCACATGGGGGGATACTCATAAACAGATATGAAAGGCAAATAGACATGATGCAGTCAAAGGATGCTGAAGAAAGAGTAACTGGGCTGTACCCACGGTCCCGTGACAGTGAGTACTAGGCACTTTGGGCTGTGCGAGGCCAGGCACTCAAAACTGGGCGGAGCAGCTTAGGTCTGCAGCAGACCTTCTGGACTTTTGCTGTCCTGTAATACAGGAGAAAAATGGAGCTCATCCAGACTGATATGCTATAAGTATAAAATACATGATGGATTTCAAAGCTTTAATGCAAAATTCCTCAATAATTTTATATTGATTGCATGTTGCAGGGAAATTATTTTGGATACACTGAGTTAGATAGAATGTGTTATTGAAATTATTTCACCTGTTTCTCTTTCCTTTTTTGAATGTGACTACTAAAAAGTTTTAAATCGCCTATATGGCTCACATTCTATTTCTATTTGACAATACCATGCTAGATAAAAAGAAGTATCAGGGAAGTGGGAGTTAGATGTTGGAAATTGGGAGAGAGGTCAGAGGAAGGGGAAAGGAAGAGCAGGGTACTGGGATAGAAAGAGATCGAGATACGTTAGATGCATGTATCATTTTACCAAAATGAACCTCAGTGTTTACCAACATGCACAAATAATAAAGTATTTCTTTATTTTTAGCTGATAAATTATCTCTTATTTGCTTTCTTTATGTTGTTAGTCTTTATGTTGTCAGTTACATTGTTAGTTGATAGTTTTATTTATACATTTAATTCTTTAACATATTTAGATTTCATAACCATGTGTTTGGTTAGTGAAATATGTTTTTATGTGCTACAATTGTTTCCAAATCTTTTTCTTGAATAATGTTTTTTCTTCAATGATTCATGATATCTAGAAGTACAGTAGAAATATTCTTCTTCACTTAACATGTATTGAAAATATAAGTAATCAGAAGTAAGATGAAGTTTATGAGCTTAGGTGTGAAATCAGATGAATTTAGTTTTCTTATTAGCTTTATGATTGATAAACTGTTTACTTATAAACTATAAAATGCTCTGTATTTCAGTTTTCTCGGGTGCAAAATATTTTATAGAATATTTATCTCTAGAAAGTGTTTATAGATTGAATATAATAGTGATTACTGAGTTTCTTGAATATAGGAGCCATTTAAAGATGTTAGATATATTAATGGCATAATGACACATTACCTTTCATTGTTTTGCTTTTTATGTTTTTCTGAAATATATGTTCATTTTTATTTTTTAAAAGTTGTCATAGCTGCTGAACATGGGGCAGGTACTGACAAGAAATAGGACATGAACCCAGAAATACAGCTCAGAGAAGCAGAGCAGAGGTTGTGTCCCTGAATACATGTTCCAGAGTGGTACTTTGTCCAGTTTGTTTCAAGGTGACAACATTGGCATAGCAGCAGTTTATGATTTAAAAGAATTAGAAGAGAACAATGTGAAAGCAATGCTGAGACACATAAAGTAACGGAAGGGACACATGCCACCTCATGTCATGCTATAGACAACTTAGAGTTAATATAGTAAATGGAACCCATCTGTTAGATGTATGCCCATTGTAAAGTCAAATTGTGAAACCTGTCTGTGGACATATTTTAAACCAATCATCACTATCAATTGTATAATGTATTCACCTGCATTGTCTTATTATCCCTGGGTCTCTTTTACAAGCTCAGAGAGGCTAATGATTTGGCTAGGATTACCCAGTTTGAAAGTGGCAAAACCAGGACTTGCACCTTGGTTGGTCTTGAGCAGGCAGTGTATTTTCTAGGTGAAGGATCACTTGGCCTCCTTTGACTAAACTAGAAGACAAATCTAAAACTTTGTTGTTGGTGGTGGTGGTGGTGGTGTTTTGTACTGGGGATCAAACTCAGGACCTGGCACTTATGAGGCAGGCAGCAGAACCACTGAGCTAAATCCCTGGCCCTAAATCTAAAACTATTTTAAAGAATGTAACTACTGTAAAAGCTACTGCTTTGTTGGGCTTACCATGTAACATTTAAGAAATTTTCTTGGGCCAGGGATTTAGCTCAGTGGTTTGTTGACCTACCTCACAAGCGCAAGGACCTGAGTTTGATCCCTGGTATCACAAAAAAAAAGAAAAAGAAATTTTATTTTCTTTTAGTGTTGTGGCTAAATTTTCCACTTTAGGGGGAAATTTTGGAACCTGTTTTTTTATTTTCCAGCAGAGGGGCACTGCAAAAATCAGATATTCTCCACAAGAACTATTAAAGACTGGACAAATGCTAAGTTGAGACCCATGGCCATGCCATTAACTACAGATCGTGTAATTTTGACCTAAAAAATACCAAAACCAGTCGTTGACATTGTGCTTTGCCCTTTAAAATCCTTTATAGAGAAAGAACAAAAAATCTCAGTGGGACCTCTGTCTGGTTTTTAACTAGGTTTCAGAGAGACAGTGGTTCTTAAAGTGTAATCTACAGAGCAGCAGCATTAGCGTTACATGAAACTTGCTAGACACGCAAATCCTGTTTCTACCCCAAATCTAGTAAATCAGAAAATTTTGGAAGTATGGACCAGCAATCTCATTTTCATAAGCCCTTCAGGTACTTCTGATGTTGAGAACTGAGGATCACTAATATAGGACCATTTTCCGTAATCTGTGGGCTATGATTTGGATATGGTTCAAGTAGGTCTCCCAGAGGTTTGTGTGTGGGAAATTAGTAACGTTAGTGTAACATTAGTGAGAGGAGGTGGGCCTTTAACAAGTAACACCTAGTGGAACACGATTCAGTCATGAAGGCATCACCCTTGGAAAGGATTAACGTAGTTCTTCCAGGATTGGATTAGTTCCTTTGAGAGCAGGGTTGTTATAAAGCAAGACCACCTATGTGCTTGGCTCCTTTCTGCACTTGACCATTTCCCTTTCTGCCTAGTTGTGACATAGCCAGGAGGCTCTCATTAGATACCAGGACTATTTGCACTTTCTAGCCACCAGGCTCTTGAGCCAAATAAACCTCTTTCCTTTACAAAGTAGTTTTCTTTTGTTATAATAATACAAAATGGACTCAGACAGGCTCCTCCAGGGGCATATGAAGTCTGGAGCTAATAAAAATGAACGGTAGCAACTGGTGACCAACAGGCAAAGGGACCTTCACTGCTACTCAGCTGCTGAGCTAATACAGCTGGTAAGAGTGCCGGCTAACAGAGCCCAAGCCTTAGAGCCCAGGGTTCCAAAGCACCTCAGGAGGTCAGTTCCGGAATGCCGCTACATCCGGAGAGGGCTCCATCTAGCTCTGCTGAGCTTCTGCCCACTTCCTTCCAGGTCACACGACAGCAGTACCAGAACGCACTCACCGCCTGCCATATGGACAGCTCGCCCCAGTCCCCTGACATGGAGACCTTCACTGACGGTGACTCCACCAAAGCTCCCGTGACTCGGGGCACACCCCAGACTCCCAAGGATGACGCTGCCCTCATGTTACTGAACAACAGGACCAGCCTGCCGTGTACGTTAGTGGGTGGATGGGCTGGGCTGCACGGGATGAGGATGGCCCTGCCTCCCTCACCCAGCTGTGCCAGGGCTGCCATCTGGGGCTGCACAGAGCCCCAGGTCTCTTCCTCCGAGGCAGAGAGGTGATATGTGCACTGTCCCGCCCCCAGGCAGCCATTCAGAGGGTCTGAGAAGCCCTGGGGAGGTGGTATATCTGAGGATGGAGGACATGGCCTTCACCCAGGAAGAAAGGACCGACTTCGAGGCACACAAGACACAGCAGCGCTCACTGTCCCCTTCGGCTGTTCCCACAGCAGCAGGTCAGGGGGCACCCAAGGAGCAAGGGAGGGTTACCAGAGCAAACGGGGACAAGCTGGGGGATGGGGAGCCCTGGGACCCCAGCCCCTTCGTCAGCCTTCCCACCTCCCTATGCCGCCAGGGAGAACCACTGACAGTCTCAGAGCACCTGCTGTGCATGAGGAGCTGTCTAATTCATTCTCCCAGGAGAGCTGCATGGTGCAGTATTGGGAGGTATAACCCTGCCTTGATTCAGAACCTAACTCCTACATTTAGGAACCATGCAATTTTAGACAAGTTACTTAACCTTAGATTCCGTTTTCTTATCTTCATGGATGTAAATTGCAGCAGCTATCTCATAAAGTAGCTTTGAATACAGATGGGATAACACACCAGCAGCGTTTGGTACCATGCTCTTTAATATTAGGTAATTATCATCAGACCTACCTTGCAAGTTAGGAAACGATGTCAGCCATCACCCTTATTGGCAGGGATCTTCCTTCCGTGGGGACCCAGAGACCAAAGGTAGTATATTTGTCATATCTTGAGGGGTTACATCATAGCACCACCCTTAAGACATCGAGCATGTCTGCCTTAATAGTGGGGCTCCTTCAAGCTCCCAGTGTCCCAGTGGTCCTGAGCTTTGTGCTTGTCTCACTGAGGTGTATTTCCTCAAGCTCTCAGCACCCCTCCCCCTAGTCCCCAAACCAGTGATTCAATCCGTAGTAAGAGACCCTTCAGGTCTAGCAGCAGTGACCTGAAAAGGCTCATAGATTTTTAGTGAGACAACATGTTTGAATGTGCAGCTAACCTGAAAAATCTGGGACATACATAGTCACCACTCCAGGAACTGAATTTAGCACTCACGTTCTCTTCGCCCCACCCAGAACCAAATTTAGTAGCTAAGGCATGTAGCCTCAGAATGTAGCAGAGAAGTAGGAAGTGGGGAAGAGGAGCAGTCTTCGTATTCCACCCTGCTCCTGTGACCCACAGGACCCATGAGGTTTGGGAGAAGGGAAACACTTTGCTCATGTTCAGCTATGCATTAGAAGCAGGCCAGGCCTCCTACGGTGCAGTGCAGCTTTCAGCACACCACTTCACCTCCCCAGCTAAGTCCTTACTGCGCTGGTGGTGGGCTTTGGGCCCCTTCCTGGCTCTGAGATGCTGTAGCTTTCTGGATTCCTCACTGGGTCCTGATAAATATCGCTGTGCCCTGCGATGTGCTCAGTTATCACGGAGCCCTGCCCTTTTCCAGTTTTTGTGCAAATAGAAGAAGGAGGATGTAGATGTCACCATCTGTCATCAGATGTACTCTTTGTCCAGCAAAGATACAGGGAGGAAAACGTAACATTCTCTTCCCTCTTACCAGTGTTTGAGGAGAGGGAATTATTTGTGACTTTGCATGGACTAATGGGTTCCTGCTTTTCTTCCCTTGTCTCACTGTTCCTTTTGTGGCCCTAAAATGCTTCTTGCTAACTAAGAACCAGCACCCTCCTGGGGATCTTTCCCTGTCACACGCACCCTGTCTTGGCTCTTAGCCTTGAACCTTCACCTGCTGAGGATATCACCCAGAATACCCTGCCTTCATCCCTGGACGTGGAGGTTGAAAAGACTTAAGTTCATTCTCCTTTTTCTCAGCATCAGATAATGAATGTTGTAATATCACCCTGGACACAGAGACCAGTCCTTGCAGCAGTGACTTTGAGGAAACCGTGGGCAAGAAGTTGCTGAGAACCTTGAGTGAGTAGCTCCTCACCCAGATGTAAGCCACCCTGGTGGTTACTAGGGGGTCTTACTTATTTCTCTCATTGCTGAGACAAATACTTGACACCCAGAGATAAAGGAGGAAAGGTTTATTTAGCTCACAGTTTGTAGAGATTTTAGTCCATAATCGGTTAGCTCCAAGGCAGGTTGGCACCTGAGAGAGGGGCAACCGTTCATGGCGGACCAAAGGTAGCAAAGCAACAAGACATCTTCATAGCATGTTTCTGCCCCTTTTATCTTCTCAGACTACTTAGGGCGGGTAGCACTCATACCCTTGAGCCTAGTACCAGTGTACCATGAATCAATTCCAGCATCACACACTGTAGATCCAGCCACTTCTGAAATAAAATCCCCACCTTGACCACATGAAGCTTTGGGGGGACATCTAGACACAAGCCATAGCGCAGGGAAAGCACGTTAGGATCATTTTCCCAGAGCAGGAACCACCGACTCCTTTTGGGAATCCTAATGAGGTACAGTGGTATAAATATACAATCAGGCTTGGGCCAGTGCTATACCCTTGATAGTGTGGGAATCTTCCCCATTCATTTGGTTCTCTAGGACAGAAGTCTAGACCATGCTCATGGATTAAATTGTGACCTCCTTCCTCCACCTATTTTATAAAGACTTACTGGATCACAAATTAATTTGTTATCTCTGCGCACTATGACAAAGTCAAGCAGTTGTGATAAAGACCATATGGCCTGTAAAACCCGTAATATTTACTATCTAGTCCTTTAAACAGATTTTTGTGTGTCTAGGAGACTTCATAGAAGTCCTCCATAGATGGAAGCCAGTGGCAGAGAATAAGGTGAAATTTCCTAATAGCCGAGCTGGAGACAGACGACTCTTCCAATCCTTGAGAACAATTATGTAACTATCCCCACCCGCCTCAATGCAGAGGGAGGTTGTTTCAGAGCTAGAGTGTCTAGGAGTGGCTGCCAGCTCTGCCTTACCAACCCTGGCTCATGGGACATCAATAACTAGTCTTCCTCCCTCAGACAGTGTCTTGCTTTGAGTAGGGCTGGGGCCATCAGGTGAGGGAACACATAATCCTAAGGCCTTACAGGGTTTTATTTAATCCCCTCCAGGAGGTTCTGTGGCAGGCACTAGCCTGTGTTTGTGCCTTTTCAGAGATGTCACATTATGCAAAAGTTGCATCCTACTCCTTCCAGTTTTTTACTGGTAGCAGCACCAGGTTACGATGCATATGATTTCCAGTCAAATGGCCAAGGGCTTTGTCTCCATTTCTGCTTCTTTTTTAAAGAAAGCTCAGACCACTGAGAGGGTATGAATATCCTCTGAGTCCTACAGATTGATACTTACAAACTGTGTTTTGCTTTGCAGGTGCTCGAAAAAGGAAGAGGTCAGCAGAGGGAGAGAAAACCTCCGAAGAAAACTCCAATTTAACACCTCTGATCACATGACAGGCAAAGACAGCATTCATTAGTGTGTGAGATCCAGGGCTTTGGGGGAGGATCTGCCCTCCCATCATCTGCTTGCCCCCAAGGCCTCCCGTGGGTGACAGCATTCTGCCTTCCTCTCCACCTTTGCAACCCGAGCTGTCAGTTTGGCAGATTTTTCCCTTGTTGCCTCCAGTTTGACTCAGAACCTTGCCATGGCCATAACAGAAGAAGGTGCCTCTTACAGAAATGCTAGAAATGGTCTTGTCCTTAGCACAGTCTGAGACTAGAAAAGAGATAACCCCAAGCTGACAATACCACTCTGAGACCACTATGTTCTTTGTTCTTTGGGATCGTCCGTGTTTAGGAGACCCATGTCCTAGAATTCACCATTCTTTCCTCCATTTAAAATGGTAACTTTATACCCTATTTCACACCTACCTTAGTTCAGAAGGTGCCACCAGCAGATGGACACATAGCAGGCTGGAATAGCAGGTATAAAGATTAGTTCGGGGGTGGACCCGGAATTCCTCCAGAACTTTGGAGCACGGGACTCAGCTGTGTTGGCCTGTGATTGATGTTACGGCACAGAAGACGTGAGTGACTGGTTTCCTGTGAGATAAGAGTTTCAGCAGCCTGGGGAAGTATGCCTCAGCTGGAATGAAAAGAATGTGAGATGGGACCTCAACTCATTGTTTTTCCCAGGGACACATCTGTTTTGGCTCCCAGTTCATAGTCATTAATGGACCAATAAATCTGCTCTGGAAGAGGAGCAGGGAGCAAAGAAACCCAGTTGGGAGCCAAAGATGGAACTTCAGGATTTAAGTGCATATCAAAGAAAAAAAAAACACTTAAATGGAAAAATTCTAAGCTGTGAAAATGAGTTTAGCCATGACAAACCAAAGAGTGCCCAGGTCTGCCGAGAAGGATCCATGAGGACTTCGGTGTGCATTACATAGGAATGTTGAAGAATCGCCTTTATTTTTCATCTATTTCTCTGACTTCTTACTATATACCCCAGCAGGTCAGCTAAGTGTACTTTAGTCCCAGAACCTGCCGGATCTCTGGTTTTTTTCCTCCGGCACATAGGGGCCGGTGCAATTCTAAAAATAACCACGAGATGGCAGAATGGCTGCACATACAGTACAGTACCTACTTCGAGGAACTGTTCAGTTCTGATCAGGAACTATAGCAAGCCTTAGGGAAAATTTGAAAGTGTGGTTTGTCTTCAGAAATCCTGTCTGCCTTTCTGATCTATCTCCCATGCTTTGGGTGCCCTTTGGTCAGTACCCAGTGGTCCAGTGGTACCAGATGAATCTTCGAACCATTTCCAAACTTTTCCCTGTGGTGTACAATGCAAACTTCCCTCCACTTCTTCAAAAGGCTAGCTCCCTCCCCTCACCCACTCAGTTAATCACATGGGGCAGGGGAGAAACTGATAATTCCTCTGGGTTATTTGCATGTCAAAAGAAAATGCTTACCCATAGGAACCTTTAACTCAGGGGTCCTAAACTTGGGGTCTGTTACCCCAAAAGGTCCATAGTTGGACTTCATAGGGTCTATAAAACCCTTAAAACTGTCTGAATTTAGTGTATGTTTTTGTGTGTGCTTTCCAGAGTTAAAGCTTTCCTAAGATTCTCAAAGTTCTCAGACCCACAAAGGGTTAAAATAACCACTACTTTCAGTCATGGAACTTTCAGTCCACTGTTTTTGCAATGCAAGGTGAAGTGAATACTGGTCATTTTGAGACAGACCTTAGATTCTAAGTGGTCTTCTCAAATTTCTCTCAGTCAATGGGGAAGGCTGGCACCCACCCAGAAGCAAGAGTCCTCAGACATTCTTGGCACCCCCTTGATATTGTGCGTCCCTGCCCCACCAAACCGAAACAGGCATTGCAGACAGGAGGGCCACAGCATGTGGAAGGACTTGGAGCTAGAGATGCCTCTTTCAGTAACGTATTACTGACCTGACACACCCCTTGCCTGGCCTGATCCGGTCTGAGGCTCAGCCATGCATGTGTTCTTGCAGATAACCCTACAGCTACCCCCTCCCCACCTGCTTTTCTCTGGTAGGAACAGTGTCAGCCTTCAGTGCTGGGCATCTTAGACCCAGAAGTGTAAATGGTGAGTTTTTAGCATATATTGCCATCCTGCAGTCTCCTTGCCCAGCTGGCCATGGACACAAGAGGGCCTGGCAAGGCACCTTTTCATTATCTTTAGGCCACCAGGCTCAGACCACTACTCCTGCATTACATCCACCCCTTTGCACAACCCCTAAGGAGCCTGTCACCACTCCTCTTCCTAGCTCCCTACCCACAGAATTTCTTCAGGTTTCACCTAAAAGGCTTTTAACATAAAGCATCTATGAAGGGTCAATTGTAAATAATTTTGAAATAAAATGAAAATGCCTTTACTGGAATGTGGTTGTTTGCCTTGCCCCAGGAATCGGGAGTTGCATCTGTGATGCAGGTCGGATGGCGCACATAAGTAGTTCTCACCTGTGCCTCACCTGCCTGAAAAGGCAAACCTCTCACAGCACGTGTGAGGCCGAGGAAGGTTACAGGAGAGCTCTGGCACCGTACTGTGGGCGGCCAGCTGAGTCGGATTTTGCAGGAGTGAATGCCAGAAGTGGGAAATAAAACCCAGACAGCCAGAATACAAATGGAGACTAGGGAGGAACACTAAGAGGATAAAGAGCAGGGCTCCCATTTGTTGAACAGAAGGGAAGGTGAGGCCCTGGTGGGAGTTCCCCAAGTTCAAGGTCTTGAGAAGCCAGACCCAGACAAGAGTCTGTGCCGCTCACTCTGGCTCACTTCGTCAGACCCTGTGAAGAGGAGCGAAAGTGTCACCGTCTTAACAGTTTCCAGTCAAAGGCTGGGGAAGGAACCACAGACTGGACCAGACCTACTGGTCAACTGGAGACCGACACGGGAAGGCAGGAACAGCCGGATGGGAAGATGATGTGTTTGAGTGCGGAGTATCTTTGCGGAAGGAAAGTTTGAATGTGAAACTCATCTCACAAACAGCAAGCAGAACAAATAGTGGCCCACGCCGGGACAATGTAAGATGCATTCCAGGATCCTCAGTGGAGGCTATTCATTTCATTACAAATAACAGTAAAGTATAGCAACAACTATTTTGCTACAGACTCATTAGTTTATTTCTGTCCCAAAACCATCCTGCCAAGAGTTGTTAATGTTTAAAAGGTTATGTGACTTATTCAAGGCTACTCAGCCAGGAACTGGCAGAGCCTGCAGGTCTTGAACGCCTTGCTCCTGAAAGGCAAACTGTGCAGTCCTAACTGTTAAATCCATGGCACACACATTGCACAGGTGGACAGCAGACGCCTTGAATTCTGCAGCTTTCCTCAAACTCACACGGAGCCCTAAACATGGTGTGGTATCACACTGACCAAAATGCATGTAAGGACAAATTAAGGCCAAATTTCCATTGAGGCCAAAGCTTTAAAAAAAAAAAAAAAAATTAGCACTTAAGGCATTTAGGTTTAAAGCAGTTTCTTGATTTTTAATTATTTTAGCACTTCTGCCTAGAGAAAAATTCTCAAAAAAAAAGAGAAATTTAATACTAAGGCTTTTTTCGCTAGCACTGAACTTTGGAGGTCCAAAAATGATTTTATTTGATTTTTGTTTTGCCTCCCACAAACCCAGCTTTGTTCCCATGGAGGGGGGTAGTCACCCCCTGGAGAATAATGGTTTAAAGCCACATTAGAGAATGATAGAAGACTGATACAAGGTAGGCTCATTCAGCATCTGTCTCGACTGCCGTCCCTTACTAATGAGAAGCATCTTTAAATTGGAAGAACAAATGTTGATGGAATAGAAATGAGAACAGAAGGCAGGAGATCATCTGATCACTTTCAGTCCATCCACACCAACCAGTCGAGTCACACCCCAACAGTGGGTGCCAGCCCAATGATCAAAGATCCAGAAAACTTACCCTGTGTCAAAATACTGAATAATGAATAGAAAGGATTGACATGGAAAATTATAAACAAAGAATGCCACCACTACTTTTATAGATTTGAAGGTCCTTTACAAATGCCAGTCAACCCAATGGCTGTCTGTGAAAGGTCCAGGGGAGTAAGACCAATGTTGATTAAATTCCAGCTCAAGGTAAAAGATCTTAACTAAAAATCAGTAGAACAGATGCCTCACCAACTATCAAAAGGGTCTGTCACCACCATACCAAATGAAAATGCTACATCAGAGGCAGTATGGAAGATACTGTTTCACCACAGGCAGAGGCTACCCTTGGTGACTTCTAAGACCCCAATCACCCTTTAATACTAAGATTTTTTAACTCAAAGGAGTCCTAGAATGGAACAGATCCTGTTAAAATGCCAAAAATTAACAAATATTTTAAAATCTCTAGTAGTGACCTCCTTTTAAGTAAAACCCAATCTCACCAAATCTATAAAACTGCCATTTGGAGAGTTCCCACAACTGTGATCTGTGTGTGTGTGTGTGTGTGTGTGTGTGTGATCTATATTTAAATGGCCATAATTGTTCCAGCAGACTAGGAGGTACCCTAAACACAGTGGGAGAGGCTGGTGGTTTGTCCCTCCTACGAGTCCATGAAGTCTGGTTTTCTAAGTGTTATAAGACTGCTGGCCTCTGAATAAGAAGCCCACAAAACTGACACACACTGGTAGTACAGTGATTTCACCAAAGGGACATTTTGGTATTTTGAGACAACATTTTCATTTTTCTTTCAGCTGCTAGTAAATCCCTTTAAATTGTGGGTCACAACCCTTTAATGGATCACAAAATCAATTCCATGTGTCTTATTCAGCATTTTTATTTTATTTTAGCGAAACAGACAAAATTGAACAGAATATACTTGAAAATATCAGACTGCACTACACACTGCAAGGGTAAATACTATTCCATGAAACTTTTGTTTCAGTTAAACAGGTGAATCTGCCCGTGTGCATCATGATGTAACTATTTCTTACTGCAGTCACACTAAAGAATTAAAATTTCACACAAGGGACACAACCATGCAGAAAGAACATGGAGACAAGGTGGAAACGATGACGATTTTTTAATGCCACACAACATCCACAGTCACAGTGGTTCCTTCAGTCAACTTGGCCTTTGGACTAGACTTTGTAGAGTCAAGCAACATGCAGAACCCATCAGCAACATGGGCAGCACTCCTGCTTCTAGCAAAGAATCTACATCGTACGATCAAAGATTATTTATTCTTAAATAAAAACCTTAATTTGTTCTGGTCTCCAAAAGGCTCTAAGCCCTGACCCCCAGTTCTTGTCACGTATGTTCTCCTCACGTGGGCAGTTGAGTTGGAGGCCACTTCCCCAGGGCAGCGTGGAAGCCCTCCCGTCAGCTCTAATTCCCGATATGTACAGCTAAGTTTGTGCAGGCAGGGACACATGTGACACAGAATACTTTGGTGGTGCAGACTGGACAGTGTTTCTTCACTGGATTTTGGTGACTGCCTCATAGATGGACGTAGCCACATAATCTAGATTTTTGGTGGTTAAACCGCACATGTTGATCCGACCACTTGGCAGAAGATAGATGTGCTTTTCGTTGATCAGATACTCAACCTGCTTGGCTGTTGAAAACCAAAACAAGACAGAGACAGTAAGGATCTTTTAAGCGATGGCAGTTCAGTGATTATTGGAGAATTACATTTTTCATTTTTCCCTTTAACAGGCAAAACAAAAGGAGCTATTTCCTCCAACTGACAAATAGAAATATGCTCACTACATTCTGTAGATTCGTTAACTTTCTAATTCTCAGGAAGATCACCACGACTACTACTGCTATGCAATTTATTCTGGGGCTAGTTCCCAACCAAACTTTGCACGTTACACTCACCAACACACGTCAACTAAGAATAACTACCAGACTAAGAATATTCTGATATGAAAAACTGGTGTTTCCTTCATCTCTTCCTACCCTGTCTGCTTATGTCTGAGCACCTAGCCACAACCTTCTGTTGACATTCATTTTTACAGTACACTAGAAAAGACCCCAAGCAGCACTGGATAAATGCTACGAGAACAAACTAGCAGACCAAAAATTTTTGAGATGTGATCAAAATATTTTGAATTTAAATTTAAAACATTTTTCTTTAATTCATGAGGTATGATCAGAATTACAGAGAATGCTGTTGCTAAGTGCTATCCAATAAAAAGGTAGATTTGTAAAAACATGGCGTATCCTCATCTGCCCTGTTCACCAGATCTGGCATCCTGCAACTTCTGGTTCTTCCTCAAAGTCAAAGTGACAACAAAAGGTAAATGTTTTGGACCAGTTTAGGACATGAAGGGAGCAACTAAAGACACTCATGAGAACGAAGACTTCCAGAACTGCTTCAGAAAGTGGTGACAATGATAGGATAAGTGTGTTGGGATAAGTGTATTCAAAGTGAGGGAGACTATTTTGAGGGAGATTAAAACATTCACGACAGGGTGAAGGGAGGGCAGGGAATGGGGAAAAAAATAAGAACCAAGATACATCATGAAAAGGTACAAGATCCCAATGATGAATGCAAGTGTTTTATTATTATTTATTATTTAAAAGTACCAATAAACTCAATGAAAAAAAATTCACGACAGAGTGACATGCATGGACTGTCCCATTGGGTTTAGCCTATACTACCCAACGGGACGGTCCCAAGCTACCCAACAGGACAGTAATGCCTGTACCACCAGTGTTAATGACAGTATGTCTTTTACTATAATAAAAATTTTTAATTTAAACATCCAGTGTATTTTTCCATCACATCTCATGCACAGACCTCCCTGTCTTGGCACCAACAGGTCTGGTTACTTCTTGCCGCTCCTCCTCAGAAGCAAGAAGGGCTCCGTGTCTGCAGAGAGGCACAACGCGTGCAGCAAGAAGGGGCTGACTTTACTGCCTTGATGCTGCAATCCTTAGAATGCTTTCGCTTTATTGTAGATGCATGATAGAATTCTAGAAGATTTTTGCCTACTTAACACCCTGAAGACACAATCCATATAAGGGAAAGGAATAAAAAAGTATCCTAACAAAGGGGCAAACACTATGTTCCAGGCAGTGCTATGAGCACCTCAACCTCAATCATCTTGGTAATAACCTATGGTCCCCACTATACAGACGAGGCACAGAAGGTAAATGGCCTTTCCAAAGGCACGTGGCTGCTCAGCAGTGGTCGTACGGCTTTAAACCTGAGTCTGGGCTCCACCCTACAACACAATGCTGCTCTCTATGGAAGTGGCCGATGTGGACTCTGGACTCAGGGTTGCAATGTGCCTCTCCAAACAAGCAAACAAAGTTAGCTTCACAAGTCACTTTGACCCAGTCTAACCACGTGAATGATTGTCGTCCATGAAGATAAAGCCAAGTTCACATCAGAAGAGCCACGGGCACACTGCTGTTTATAAAATTCTGAGCCCCAGAGGGAGGCATTTGTTGTCACCAGGCTCTACTGTGGTTCAGTTTTGGTTTTTTGAATAAAAAGCTGGTAAATAGTATAAAACCCTTCCCCAGAAAAAGGCCAGTGTTCACAGGGGCAATTTTTATCGCAACACCAGGGGCTTTTTAGGCGGGTCCTGACAAAAAGGTAATAAAGGAAATACTGTGACCTGAGAATAGCACAAACTAGATGTTGGGTATATGCCCCTCCCAAATACTGTACATTTCCTCCAGATTTACTGTATGTTTTCCTAATAAAATGATGAGAGGAAAAGAAAATAAACCCGTATTTATAAAGCAAATTGCATCTGACCCAGCTAAACCCCTACTAGGTATCTTCCCAAAAGAATTAGACACCATTTTACAGTGCTATATGCACACTCATGTTTACAGCAGCACAATTCATAACGGCTAAATATTGGAAGCAGCCTACATGACCATTAACAGATGAATGGGTAGAGACGATGTGTTATTTACATATAATGGAATACTACTCTGCCATAAAAGATAAACGGAGTCATTTGTAGGAAAATGGATGTACCTTGAGACCACAATGTTAAGTAAAATAAATAAAATATAAGCTTAAATATGATATGGTTTCTTTTTTATGAAATACCCAAAATACAAATAAAAAGCAAAATAAAAGATAGATAATACAAAGTGGAGAGAAAGATCTTTCTCAATGAGAGGCAGATTAAGAGATGGAAAAAAAAAGGAGAGAGGGAAGGGGAAAAAGAATTAAGATGAAATATGTACATGTACCAACTCCCCACAAGGAACGTGATCACTGTGGTACTATAAACATACACTAACAAGTAATTAAAAAAAAACAAAACATAAAATGTCAGGTGCAAAGAATATAATGACTGTTAGGCACGGGTCTACTCCCATCATTTCTCAATTCACAGTAAAAACTAATTTCCTACTCTGAATAGTGAGTGGGAAAATACAGCTATTTTGGGGAGAGATATCCCTACCTTATGAGTTTTTACAATATTACTACTAAAGATCATTTCCATTATACTCAATATTTTTAGAGTTGTGTAAGAATGACTTTTCTTATTGAGTCAACTAATTCTCTATCCCACAGTCATGAGGACACCTACAGATAACTGCACAATTCCTTTATTTTCTTAGGTGGCCTCATTTTATACCAAAGTATTTTAAAGGATCTATAGTACAACCTCTATCACCTATTTATATTAATTTCCTTTGGCTTTTCCTGAGCCCATTCCAAAGAAGCACTCGGACGGCTCCAGTCTTGCTGCTTCTTTGGTGACTCTACTGTTCCATCTACAACCCAAGCCAGTGCATCCTTCCCTAGGGCGACTCAGACACACCAGTGAGGGTGATGTGCACCATGCCAATGGCAGCATGGCCTGCAGGCGTTCAGGAACTGCTAATTAAGAGAATGAACCCTGTATCATCATAAGGGAGCAATGATAGCTGACAGGCCCTGCTGACAGTGGACCAAAATGGTGCATGGCTGCCCACTAGGTTTTTAATCAGCTTTTAATTACAGCTACCTATCTAAGTTCTTATTTATGAAATGAAAGATAATTTCATAATCTCTTTTTGAGGGAGACCAGGAGAGACCTGTTAAGAAATTACATTGCTGAATAATCACATATAATATTTATACTTAGGACTCTTATGACAATTTCTGAGAACTTCAAAATCATAAATCATTAAGCTACAAGTCCTATTACTTTCTAGCTCACTCTGAAGAATTTCCCAGCCCACAAAATGAAAATGTTATGGTTGTGGGTCAGTAGGGCAGACCACAACAATGGTCTTCTGAGACCCCAGGGGCTGAGAAGACAGTAAGACAGAAAACCTAACTTTGCCTGGTCCAATTAGACAGACCAATTAAGCAACAGCTAACAGAGGTGAGTCTGTGACCAGCGACTGAGAGGACTGTTGGTCTTCATAAACACGTGCCTAAGGGGGTGTGGACCACTTACGGTTCAAGCCAGTGAAGCTGAACATGCCAATCTGCTCAGTGATATGAGTCCATGTCCCAGGGGTCTTGAGGGCTTCTAATCGTGCCCTGAGTTCAGATCGCATGGTCAGAATTCGGTCAGCCATTGTCTTCACATTACCTGTCCTGAAACATGGATAGTCATATAAATACCAGGCCCGACAGGAGAGATGGTACCCAAGAACATGCAGGCTGAAGAAATGTAATTTAGCTGGACATGGTGGTGCACACTTATAATCCCAGCACTTAGAAGGCTGAGGCAGGACGATCCCAGGAGTTTTAGGCTGATCTGGGATACATGGTGAGTTCAAGGCCAGTCTGAACTACATAGTGAGACCCTTATCTCAAAAAAACCAAAACCCAAAACTAAAAGAACTATGATTTAAACTATAAGCTGAAAATGGGATCACAACCTGCCAACCATGTGAATGCCCAGAAGGAGAAATGAGCAGTTCAGACTCTAAGTAAGCAGAAGGCAAGGACTGGACTGACTGATGGAGTCTAGTGCTAGTCTTGGGTACAATGGCTACTAACAGCATTAGTGTTTTTACTGAATCGACACTAGGGTGCTGATATACATAAAATAATGCATTTCATCAGTCCAAATTAGGGACTATGGAACAGCTAATACATACAAATGATTCTGTTCTAAAATAAGATAAAATACAGTAGCTCTCCCCTTACCTACAACTTTACTTCCTATGGCTTCAGTTACCTGTGGTCAGTCATAATCTAAAAATATTAAATGGAAAATCCCAGAACTAAACAATTCATGTTTTATATAACTTTTGGTGTAGAATATTATTATAATTGTTGTATTAGATATTGTTAATCTCTTACCATGCCAAGTTTATAAATTAAACTTTATCATAAGTATGTAAAGGAAAAACAGTATAGGTAGGGGTCTATGCTATCTGTGGTTTCAAGCATCCACTAAATTTCTTGGAATACATCCTTGTGGATAAAAGGGGTCTGCTGTACATGGAAATTAAGATGAGAATGAAGAGTCCAACACTTGTCATACTGCCTTGAAGTTGGATATTTTATTCTGGCAGAAGTTCCTTCCTGTGTTTTCCAGCGTTAAAGGGAAGAAGAACAGGGAGCAGGAAAGTGGGAGAAATTGCCATTCATTTAGTGCTTCCTCCTTAGTTCCAGGTGAGCTGCACATATGAAAGGTTGGAATCAGCCCTACTTTACAGAAATATCTGAGACTCAAACAGGTTTTAAAAAAGTAATTGTTTCCAGCTCTGGAAGGCTGAAGCGGAAAGATCACAAATTGGAGTCCAACCTGGGCAACCTGGCAATTTAGTGAGACCCTGTCCCCAAAACTTTGTTAAAAGGCTGGGGATTGTAGCTCAGGGTGAAGGTGGTGCAATCCCCAGCCTCCCTCCCCCACATAACACTCCACCCCACCTCCCAAAAAATTCTGTAAGGACTGGAGGTATAGCTCAATGGTAGAGCACACACAAGGCCCTAGGTTCAATCTCTAATACCAGGGGGAAAAAAAAGGAAGAAAAGTAACTGTGTTTGCCTCCGCCAAAATGAAAGTAAGAAACTAAGTTAGATGTAATGGAACGTTACAGTTCTGCACCATCGGGTTCTGAGCCTCTTACCATTCCTTAAAGAGCTCAGGGTCAGACAGAGTAGAGGCCACAATTCGTCCTCCGTGGGCAGGAGGATTGGACCAAGTAACTCGCACAATCTTCTCCATCTGAGAAAGGACCCGCAGGATGCTGTCAGATTCTTTTCCAACCACGGTCAGATTCCCCACTCTCTCATCTAAAGAGAAAGACATTATCAGGCTTGGCTATGGGTGGGAGGGCTGGGACGGAGGCAGGGCCACACCCCACCAAGCACTCACTGTAGAGCCCGAAGTTCTTGGAGAAGGACTGGGCACAGAAGAGCTCAAAGCCTTCAGACACAAAATAGCGAATGGCCCAGGCATCTTTCTCAAGGTCTCCAGATGCAAAGCCCTGATAGGCTGAGTCAAAGAAGGGGAAAAGAAACCGGCGCTGCAAGGAAGGAAAGCGAGTCAGAGCAGGAAATCCTTCTGGAACCAATCTCAGGCGCCAGCCCTCCCTGCCTCCCTTCCTCATCTGGCACGTGAACAGAATTTCTTAACACTGAACCTTTCTCCTCTTTCTTATCCATATGTACTCAACCACCCAACTAATTCTCTGTTCCACTGAATATCAACTAACAAATGTTAAGTTTCAGTAAATCTCACTTTTTTGTTTGTTTTTGGTTTTTGAGACAGGGTCTCATGTAGTCAGGTTAGTCTCACACTCACACATCCTCTTGCCTCAGCTCCCGAGTGCTGGATTACCTGTTTTTAACAGTATGTTGTCCTACATGGCAACTTGCAGCTCTGCCAACAGGGCTTATTTCTAAGGCGAGAAGAGACTGTCCTATGTTAGTGAGTGCTTCTCTAGGAGTTCCTGGTATGACAAGTTAGTCAAGTGAGGACTGCATTCCCAGGGCCACCCAGCAGATACTCAGGACAAAGCAGGTACAGTAGTCTCCCATCACTCTCCTTTCTTCAAAGAGCTGCTGCATGGTCTGCTCCCGCTTTTAGTGAACAGACATCACTTCCCTCTCCTGAAAGCCAGAAACCAGAGTGTGCCTTGATTCTTACCTCTGTAACTTGTCGCACATCCAGTCATACCCCAGCCTGGTTGGTCCTGCCTCTTCAGAGCCCTAGGGTCCTTTTCCATTTCACTTCCCTTATCACCTCCTTCTTCATTCAGGTCACCATCAGCTCTTACACGATTGCAACAATAACCTCCTAACTGCTGTCCCAGCTTGTCTAATCTTGCATCTCTGAACCATTTCCCATTGTAAAATCAGGGTGACCTTAAGGCAAAGCATATACACTCATATCAGGTAGTGACCTGACATCAGAGATTTCAGTGGCTCCCACTGCTCTAAAAATGAAAATCAAAGACCTTGGCCCAGGGCAGGACCCTAATTACTTTCTAGCTGCATCATTCACACTACCCTAGCTGCCTCTAATCCTAGGCGGTAACCAGAATGACCTTCACTTCCTTAAAAGGGCCATGATCACTGCCTAGGGCTCCTGACCATTGCTCTGACTTCAGCCAAGGTCTTCTTAACTCCTTCCCTTCCTACAAGATTCACCATGGCAACTACTTCTTCCACAGGAGTTTCTGCTAACACCTGTACCACCTCCATACACTGCCTGAAGTCAGAGTGATGTGCCTGATAGGAACCATCAGCATCGCACAGTATCACAACCACTCTCTTCCTCATCAGTCTCCCTGGACACTGCACACTCTTGGGAGGCAGGGACCATATCTGCTTTGTTCATTGCTATATTCTCAGGGCATCCAAGATGGAATAGTTTCCCAGGAATTCTAGGAGCACATTAATGGAAAATACACACACTATGAGCTGGAAATGCCAATCTACAAAGTCATTCCAAAGAAATAAAAAGGAGTTTTATTATACAATTATTCATAAGCTCAAGAAACCTAAAATTACACCAAATGTCTATTTACTGATTTACCCAGTCCCTAAGATGACACATCTGTGAAGGAAATATAATACAGTCATGAAAAAGGATGCTGTAGAATATCAAGTGGCCTGTATATAAAGAAACTCAAGTAAAAAAGTGCTATGAAACAGAACAGATAAAATGGCTATATGAAATACACAAAGGCATACACATACATGCATACACACAAGGCCTGACATTTTCTCTACCAAAACTTTAACAGTGTCTTTCATTACACTTCTGTAATGCCAGCACTCTTGGGAGGCAGAAGCAGGAAGAACACAAATTTAAACCCAGTCTAGACAACTTAGCAAGACCCTGTTGCAAAATACCAATTTTAAAAGTAGGCTCAATGTAAAAGCCCTGGGTTCAATCCCCAGTACTGCAAAAAACAAAAACAAACAAACCCAGTGTCTTTCTTTGGGTAATAGGATTTACAGTGTATATTTGTTTTCTTCTTTGTACTTTTCTCCATCGTTCAAATTCTTCATAAACAGGTCTTGCTTTTTTGAATACACCGAATAATACGTGCTGTTTTTTTAAAGATGCTCCGGAGGAGCAATTACCTTCATGACGGAAGCAATCTGCTTCCACTGCTCTGGAGTTGGGTCAGTTCCGGTTGGATTGTGTGCACAGGCATGGAGGACAACGATGGAGAATTCTGGAGCGTTCTGAGGAAAAGGAGGCTACATCAGCTCTGACACTAGCAACAAGAGACACACTCAGCAGCATACGAGTCAGTGGAAAGGACTAAGGGTGACCATATTCTATCACGTCTCTCTTCTGCACAACCTCTTACATGCTACTTCAAATCTACTATCTGGGTTGGGCAAGGTATCTCTGAGACTTTCACTTGTCAGCTGTTCCAAAACTTTCCTTGTTAGTCCTGGCACCACAAAATGTTTTTACTTTTTTTCTTCTAAATCACCTACCTCTAGATCATTCAGGAAACCCTGGAGGTCAAGTCCTCTCTTCTCTGCATCCCAATAGTGATAGGTTCGAATGTCTTTAAAACCCGCAGTAGTAAATACACCATTATGGTTCTCTGCAAACAAAGGAGTAAAACATTAAGTACTTTTACAAACACCAGATGGCCTAACTATGAAGGCCACAGTCAGCCTTCCCAGCCCTCCCAGGCTCAATGTCCAAACTCATCAAGGTTAGAGGTTAAAATATGGAGAAAGGATCCCAACCAAGAACAAGTTCAACCAGTTACATTAATGCCAAATATATCCTATGACAGTGGTATTTCCTGCATCAACATTTTATGCCTCCTCTGGGGATTTTCAACACAGACTAAGCTCACCCCAGGTCGGTGAGGACACATAGACGGGTGTGTCCTTATTGTTTGTTCCATTGTACCACTGGGCTAAGAACTCGGCTCCAATGCGCAGTGCACCTGTTCCTCCCAAAGACTGCACACCTCCTACCTGAAAGACAATGAGGGTGACAGCTGGATAAGAGTGAGGTCAGATACCATTAGAAAATAAGGTAATAGTGAGCACTTGCTTTGTGCTTGTTCTATGCTAAGTCCTTTCATCATTGTATTATAGCATGAAAACCTCACAACAGAGGTGGTTGAGTGAATGCTTGCCCTAAGTGAGGCCCTAGGTTCAACTTCCAGCAAAAAAAAAGCAAAAATAAAAACACAAGCAAACAATAACAACAACAAAAAGAAACCCCTCAGAACAACTGCACAAAGAATTTCCTATTATTTGCCCATATTTATTACACACAAAGAGGAAACTGAGACTCGGTGGGATGGAATACCTTGCTAAAAGTCAGTAGCTCCTAAAAGAGAGGGTCAGATCTTCAATCCCAGGTCTGACTCTAGGGGAAAAGTTTCCCTTGTGAACACAGAGGTAGAGGACAGACCCAGGGCACATTAGTGTGTTTCGGAAAGCAAACTCACCTCTTCAGCACCTATCCCAAGATCAAAATCTCCCTCAGCAAAAGCCCGTAAAACAGTGTTTCTAGCTTGCCACTGTCATCAGTCTATGGTACCCTTTCTTCTCTCTAGAACTTAGGCTTATGAATCCTTAGATGTTCTAACAAAATAAAGGTGATATGTGAATACGACTTTCCTATCCTTGGCTTTCTATGTGACCTTATAGGGCAATAAACCATTTATAAAACGCATTTACAGGAATTCTCATTTGATCTTCACATACATTGTAAAGCAAGTTCTACATACCCAATTTACACGTTAGGAAAATGATCCCAAGAAATGGTTTGCCATAGGGTACACAGCTGATGAGTTGCAGGATGTAGGCCCTGTGTCTTATGCATGTTATTCTTCCTATCTCTGATTTTGCCCTTTCAAAATTTGAACTAGTTTTCACCATAACTCAGTAGGAAAACGAGTGAAGCATGTTACCTAATATGTCTACAGGACTGTAAAGAGAGAAAGGAAAAGATCACACGAAAAGGTCTATCTAAATAAAAGGAGTGGCACACACCAAATCTACTGAGCAGTAGCAAATCTTAGGAGGGATCTAGACTGTAGAACAGTGGTCAAAGGGACTTAGCCCTAATCTATAAATTGTTTTTTTTAAAAAATATGAATTTGTTCATGTGCTATTTATAAAATTCTATAACACTTTTTAAATGTATTCAGATAGCTTGGACTTGCCATAAAATAATCCAGCTTTAATATTGAGTCAATCTTATACAAGACAAGTGTTAAAGCTAAGTGAAAGACACATGGAGATGCATTCATATTATTTTCCTTACCTTCATATAGATTTGAGCTTTTCCATAATAAAAATGTAAAAAAAAAAATGTTAAAGAAAAGCTTCCTACATCTCTTTTAAAATGTAGTATAACATTAATACCAAAAGATAACAAAGGGAAAAAAGTCGGAAAAAGAAAGACCTTCCTCTTAACTTTTAACTCCACCCTATTTTGTTCTCAGAAACCAAATTTATTAAAAGTCAGAAAGTTAGTAGACAAGATTAAAAACATGTTTTGAGATAAACTCACAAAACAAACATGAACTATTTCTTGGCATTCATAACATATATGACACATGAAATATCAACTTCCCAAAAACTTATCATTACCTAAAAATATGACAGCGTTGTTTGGCTTTGGTGAAACAAATTGCTCTAATTATCAGCACAGAAACTAGCTTTGAGTGCATCAGTACTGGAGCAATTGGGTTGTTCTGGGAACTCATGTTTGGCAAATTAATCAAGAGCCCATGAGGGTGCTATTTTGGTATCAAGGAGAATCATTATTATTAAAGGAAATTATTATCAAGGGAAATAAGTCCAGAATTTTGAAGGAGCCAGGCAACTGGCCCTAGGTGGGTCAACAGGGATATCCAGAGCAGAGGAAATCTGGGAAGTGAGTATGAAGGCAGACAGGGCTGACCTTTGTACATAACTGCTGGGCCACAGGACCCTTGTCTAAGATCACAGTTTGCTGATGTTGTGCCTTCATTGTGAGGAACAGGAGGCCTGACCAGGAACTGCTCGTGGCCAGGGCCACCGCATTAATTTCAGTGTCTATGACAATACCTGGCACACAGTTCTATACAAACCGGTGCTGAACTAGCTACAGAGATGGCATTAAAAACAAACAGTGAAACAAAACAAAAAAGACGTGAGCTACAGCAAAAGTCTAGAAGAGTCTCCCAGAGAAGATGGTCAAAGTGAGAAAGACCGGGACATCTGAGTGGTGGTGGCAGCAAAGAATTACAGCTCATGGGCCCTCAATGGCTTCCTACAATGGCTCAGTGATTTCAGAACCAGATAAGGACATTTTGAAAATGAATATTCTGTCTGGATCCTAAAGTCTAAAAATGGAAAAGTAGAGAAGCGGTGAGGAGCATAGAAAATGGGTATCTCAAAATGGAGAAAGACCTGGGACCTGGTAACATTAAATCTTCAGACTGATCTCAAGGAAGACACTGCTTGTTTTCTGCTTCATTCACTCTTTTATCCACACCTCATTTCCTTCAAGTTTTGGCTCAAATACCATTTCTATTTCTACCCTGACCACCCTAGTTAAAAGTCAATTCACCCTGTCCCACTCCCTTAAACCCTTATTTTTATAGCTATTTATCATCTGTAATATACTATATGCTGTTCTTATTGATTATGTTTACAGTCTGTCTGTCTCCACAAAACTGAAAGTAGGGGCAAGAGATTCTGCATTTTGGTCACTACTGGGTTTCAGCATCTAGCACAGTGCCTGGACTTGGAGGGGAGCATCTGCTGAGTGTATGATTAATGTAAACATCCAGAGCCAGGCGTGGTGGCACACGCCTGTAATCCCAGCACTTGGGAGGCTGAGGCAGGAGGATCACTGTGAGTTCAAGACCAGCCTGGGCTACATAGTGAGCTCCAGGTCAGTCTCAACTACATAGTGAGACCCTATTGCAAAAACCAAAAATAAACAAACAAATAAACAAACATCCAGAAATTGTGGTGGTCCCAGGGTAGGAGTTAAATGCTAAAGTTGTGCAAGTAAAGGAGAAAGCCTGATTCTCACCAAGGATAGAGTTATGGTCTTGTGGGAAAGAAACCTTATAAAATTGCAGTATAGTATACAAAGTAAATATTGTTATTCACAAGCTGTGAATGAAGTCCTATGATGATTCAGAGGACTCAAACTACTGGCCCTGCCTGAGAGAGGCAAGGACTCAGCAAAGAAATGATCAGGTCTTGAAAGAAGAATTGAGGGAGGGCATTCCAGGCAGAGGAAAGAACAAGGTCATGGCAGGATTCGGTGGGTCTGGAAAACAGAAAGCTTCTTGGGATATGAGCAGGAGTAGGCAACTGAAAGAGCAAGATGCCCTCAGCTAAATTCACTGCATACCAAGTTCAAGGGTTTCACCCTGTGGGCAATGGAAAGAACTTCTATAGGGAGTGGGCTAGGAAGAGGTGAGGGCCATGACGTATTTAACTATCATCCGTCTGTCTGTCTCTCTATCTTTTTGAGACAGGGTCTTAATATGTAATTCAGGCTGGCCTCGACCTCACAGCGAACCTTCTGCCTCAGCAGCCTCCCAAGTGCTCAGATTAAGGCGTGTACCATTGTGCCTGGCTCACGACTGACTTTTTTTTTTGAAGGAAGATTTGATACATTGAATAGTTAGCCAGAAATGAGCTGGAGGAGGATTCTAAGAAGAGCCAGGGTCTAGGTTTCCTGAGTTCGCAGTTCCCTGGCTTCCTCAGAAGTACACTTCATGCATCCTTCCAAATTCCCCCTCCTTACCCAATCTGATACCTGTTACATCCACACAGTCTCATCTTGGAGCACAAGCCTCTGTCAAACCCTGGTTACCCTGTCAACCCAACTAGGACTCATTTACATGCATCTGCATGGTGATTTTGACCCCACTAAAGAGCTTTGGACACCATGTTGGTTCAACTAGGCCTATGCAAGTTTTCACCTAAAGTGAGGGTGGAAACTCATAACTGATTGGAAAAAAGCTCTCAGTCATTGACCCTTCTTCTTCGAATTCTAAGGCTTAAAAGAAATCCTACCACAGACCACAGTGTAGAGACCTCCTATAGACCTTGATTGCTTGGAACTCTCCTAAGTATACTGTCCTCTCATACCACTGCCTTGCAAGTTGCTTAATAAAGTGTTTTAAACCTTTCATTCCTTGGCTCCTGAGTCCTATTTGTGGACCTCTACAAATTTCTGGAGGATCCAAGAGCTGAGACCACTTCACAACTCAGAGCAGCACCCAGCCCAGGCTGATTCCCAACTCTTCAGTAACAGTTCATTCTAGCTGCAGTGTGCAGAATGTACCAGAATGAGGGAAAAACTACAGGCAGGAAATTCAATAAGAAGGCTGTTAGAAGAATCTACAATGAGATGATGGAGGGTTGAACTAAGACAGTAGCCTGGGGATGGTGAGAACTTCTAGAGAAAGAACAAAGACTCAGAGTTAGGGAGTAACTGGTACCTAGAGTGATGTAGATGCCAAGGGAGTATCCTACACCAATCCAAAAATAGATCTTCAAATAACTGCTGGTATATAAATTTGCTCTATGATCAAAACCACAATACCAGATGAAGTAGACTAAGAGAGAGGACTATGACCCTAGGTCAAGGCCACAAACAACAACCCAATCTTACAGTTAGGAGTTTAGAACAGAGATTGACAGGCAGAGGAACACCTGCCAGCATAGTAACTGTAGCAGTTACTATGCAGTCTTAGAGGAAGTAGCTCCCCAACACAGAATCTTTGTTTTCATTTGTCCAAGGAATTCCAAATAATTTATCTCCAGTGTCCAAGAGGATAAGCCTCCAGCTGCCTAAGTTCCTTACTTTCAAATTTCATTAGGAGTCTCATTTCTCTCTCTCTCTCTCTCTCTCTCTCTCTCTCTCTCTCCAGGAAAACACTGGTTTTCAGAGCAACTTCCCCATGTGACTCCTAATTAACATACGCTAACGTTTCTACCTGCATGCCTTCAGTTCCTTGAGGCACATCAGTGTTGCATGCCAGTCAATCAAAACCCTAACTGATCACTTGCCTAATCTTTGACCTGAGTTCCAAGGCCTTCACCAGAGCCACCCCGTGCCCCAACACATGCAAAAAGGTATGCCTGTGTAACCTTTATTATGCCATGTAGCTCTTCTTATCAGAGCATCTGGGTATCATTATATGCAAAAGGGAAACATCCACTATAAATAAGCAGCATGTGAGGAATACCCCAGATACTCCTTTAGTGCATGAACTGCAGGCCATATTACAACGGGGCCCAGGAGCGCAGCAAGGGCAACTGAAATTTCCCAACATCTTACTGGACTATTGTAAAAACCTGAGCTCTTTCCCTTCCTACCAATCTATCCTCATTTATCTTCAAACAATACTTACTGGGCAACTCCTGCTCAAATCTTGAATTGTCTTCCCCTGCCCTGGCTGCCAAAATCAGCCTGTTTTATCTGTCCAACAGGTTCCCAGCTCTAACGAGGCATCTCTTTACAATGTATACTTCCTGAGGGACCAACTCTGTCCTGGACTCTCCCCACTAGTTGAGGGTACCCTTCCATTTTCCCTTCTGTACTTCATAGATCTCAAACCTGGCTATACTTAGGATTGTGTGGGGACTTTTTAAAAAAACAAGTCCACTGTGGGAGGGAAAGGGGGAGGAAAAGAAAGGAAGGGGAAGGGAAGAGGAAAGCAGACTTGATTGGACTGGCCCAGAATTCATGTGACCCATACCCTCCCTAGGTAATCCTAATGTACATGCAGAGTCGAAAGTCGGTGTCCCGGCCACATTCACACATTCTCCAAGGCTCTGTCAAGTCCCATGTGTGACTTTCATGACCCTCCCTCTCTGAATTCCTACATCACTCAGAATCTGTCCTATAACCACTTCCTGCCACATACAGCCTGCCTGGCTATATCTGCCTCCAAACACACTATTCTTCCACGTCTCTAGCTATAACAGAAAAACCTAATTGAGCAATGGTGAGATCAAGGCCAGAAGTATTAAATAATGTTGGACTGGCAAAAGACTTCAAAGAGCATTTAGACAGTGGCTTTTGAATTTTGCAGGGGCAGAGGGCTCACACACACCTTTTGAAAAGCTGATAAAAAACTATAAACTTTCTCCCCAGAAATAAGTACACACAAAAATTGTGCATACAATTTCAGGAAAGGTCTTTAAATGACCCCCTATGCAAGTGCTCCTTATGGGACCATGAACCACAAATTAGTTTTTTCCTAATATGTAGATGTAGGAACCAGGGAAGTAAATGACTTGCATATGGTCAAAAGCAGTGGCAGAGATGGGTTAGACCCAGTCTCATGAATCCATTCAATACCCTTTGCTTGGCATCTCCACTGACTGCTTCAAATCCAGCAGCTGAAATCTGGTATCTACTAGACAAAACTGAACAACTGAAGATGACAGGCTTTGCATATGGCCATGTCACTTGCACTACCAGCTTCCACTACCATGGAAATGCTTGACAGATCACTAGACGTGACCCCTAACACTTAAAAATAAAAATGAATTTTCAACTTCTTTGTACTTTCATGGTTTCTTTTTTTTTCTTCTTCTTTATTTTATTTTCATAGCTTATAAAGAGAAAATACAGCCCTCACTCCAAACTTACCCGCTTCTCCTTGAGAGCTGGGCTGTGATCCCCAAGGGCAAGGCGAGAAGCACAGGTCCGGAACTCTGCCAGCCCCAGGATGGGCAGATACTCATGGTTGAGACTACTGTCATTAGCAATCTTCTGCTCCACCTTTCTCACAACGGGTAAAACCCAGGGCTGGGAATCGTCTGTTCGGTAAGCTGAACATGGAAAAGAGATAGAATTTTCAGACTTCAGCCAAGCCAGAGTTTAGAACTGGGAACAAAGAGTTCCAGCACCTCTCAGTCAAAATAGAACAGCGAGAGAAACCGAAGTAAAGTGCATTCACTTGCTGAATACCTACTGGGGACCAAGCCCTGGGCTGGAAGCTGAGCGAACAAAGGAAGACATGGTAAGTTTATGGAACTCACAGCTCTTAAATACAGGCCCTCCAAAAAGAAAAATGCTGAAATAAAACTGTGACATTACGGAGCCTGAACAAATGAGACAACAGAAAGGAATGCTCTGTGAACTAAAGAACATCTTACAACTGCTTTGTTGATACTGTACTGAGGCCTCTACCACCACAGGCACAAGAGAGAACCAGAAAGGTCTAGGTGCTACTTCACAAGAACTCTGCACCTTCACACATAAATACGGAGGGGGTGGACGAAGATCCTCCTCCTCCTCCTCCTCCTCCTCACAGGACAAATGGTGAGTGAACATCCTGCAACTAACGAGTCTGGCAACCAGTTACACAATCACCCAAGAGCCTACTTAAACACATCTTTGTCCTCTCCCAGTATTGTGACATCAGCTAGTGTTTACTATTTTGTTCATACACTTCATCCGCTTCACCTTTTCATTGATCTAAGTTATCTATTTCACAACATTTAATCGCACTTTGTAGTTGTTTTAAGCCTGGTTGAATCGGTCTACTACTGATCTGTAGTGAGCATTTTTAAGCCTGTTTGAATCATTCTATTACTAGTATTTCTTCTATACTAGTCTGCAGATATGGGGACATAGCTTTTGAAGGCAGCTGCTATTGCTTGCACTCCAGCCAATAATTTTTCCAAATACTATTCCTTACAGGAGCCATTTGCCTCTTTGCTTGAATGTATAGGTTGATTTGGAAGGGGGAACAAAATCTTACAGTATTTGTTGATTTTCTGCCAACATTAGTCAATGACTTGTTTTTTAAATCACATTTTAGAATGGTAGTTACTGTTCACTGAACAACACATGTTAACTGTAGAAAATTTAGAAAAGGTGAGCCAGGGACTTAGTTCAGTGGTTCCGCCACCTGCCTCACAAGTGCAAGGACCCAAGTTTGATCCCTGGTACCAAAAAAAAGAAAACTTAGATAAACCCATAAAGTAAATAATAAACATTATAACTAACATGATCTAAGCACTGAGACAAGGGCCATTAAAATCTTCTAAGCTTTATTTTCTGTGGGTACACTCTTCTAAAATATGGATCATACTGTACACAGGAATTTCAACATGCTTTTCTCCACTCACATATTGCGACGATCTCTCATCATCAGTAACTATTCTGACAGGTGATGTTTGCATGTCCTTATTCCTATAGCCCACACTTTTCCCAAATCCTGCCCTCCACAAGCAAAAACTGTTGTTAGTTTCTTATATATCCTTCCAGAATTTCCCTATGCATATCAAGCAAATACAGATTTTTATGTCTGCCATTTTTATACAAAAAGTAGTATATAGTAGTATATAATGTACTATACATACACCGTTTTTGTCCCTTGCTTTTCCACTTGAAGATTATTTTACATTTGTACATAGAGAGTCCTTGTTCTTTCATGGCTGTTTGATGAATGAACCATATTTTACTTTGCTAGTCTCTTGCTGGACATTTGAGTTGTCTGCAATTGTTGGCTGTTAACACTTCAGTGAACAATTTTATACATATATCACCTCACATGTATGCAAATATATTTGTAAGGTACACGGCTGAACATGAAACAGTGTGCTACAAAGTATGTGTATTTACAGTTTGGACAGATATTTCCAAATTGCCCTTGAAAGAGATTTTATCAATTCAGCTTCCTAACAGTACTATAAAAGAATGTCTGTTTCCCCATAACCTCATCCAATGAGTGGGGTTTTTTTTCCCCATTAGGAAAGTGCAAATGTATCTCTGTGTAGTTTTAATTTGCATTTCTCTAATTATAAATACAAATGGACATTTTTCATATATATGAGCCATTTATAGCATCATTTAGATAATATTTCTATTCATAACTGATCAACTATGCTTTCGGTTATTTGCTATTATAAACATTGTGATGGATGCTCTTATCTCTATGCACATTCCTGAGAGTTTTCCTAGAAAGTATTTCTAAATGTAAAATTACTAGGTGAAAAGGCATGTAACAAATAAAACTTTACAAGGTCACTTTGCATTTTGTGTCTACTACGAGCTAACTCTGCCCTCCATGAATGACATCTGCAGGTCTGAAAAGCCTACCGAGCTAACAAGAAGAACATGGGCAGAGCTCCAGACTGACACATCCCCAACCAACTGCCAATCTCTGGGCTGATGAATCTAACTCATGGTACAGTCATACCACTCCTATTTTGCCCCCAGACCACCAAACTCCCTTGAGACAAGTTCAAAAATCCTAGTTTACCAGGTTGGAGTTTTTTTTTTAATATATACAAAATAACTACTAAGCAAGAGCTGTTTTGAAGCAGATCATCCTATCTGAAAACTATGCTACTACTGTTCAAGTATTCCTGGAACTGTGCCGGGAAGTTGTTTTTAGAGGCAGCATCTCATTATTGTAAATATCATCAATAGTGCCAAACCTTTACCCTCTGTACAACCATCAACAGACGAATGGATAAAGAAAATGTGGTACTGACACACACTGGAGTGCTACCCTACCACAAAGCATAAACTTGAGGCATATGTAGAACAATGGATGAACCAGAGACCATAATGTTAAGTGAAATAAATCAGACACACAAGCTTAAATATCATATAGTTTCTCTTATATGAGAAGCCCAAAACATAAATTAAGAGCAAAATAAAAGATATATTAATAGAAAATAGGGAGATACATCTTTTGTAAATGAAAAGGGGACCAAGAGATGGAGGAAAAAGGGAGGGATGGAAGAAGGGGATGAGAAAAGAATTAAGATGTATTATACACCTGTACCAACTTCCCAAAAGGAATGCAGTATTTACTATTAAAAAATAAAAATTGAGGAAAAATGGTTAAAAAAAGAATTTAATTTTCACAAAGTGGTATTTGTATCATCGCCAGAAAAAAGGGTAGGCAAACAAACTGGATGATAGTCATAGAGAATGATTACAAAGAAAAGGTTTCTTGTGTGAGTTCTACTCATTCCAAAAGGTTTCCAGAGTGGGGTGTGGTGACAATGTGTCTGTAATCCCAGAACTTGGGAGGCTGAGGCAGGAGGATTGCCACAAATTCGAGGCCAGCCTAAGCAACAAAGCAAGACCCCCACCCCAAAAAGTTTAAAGTTTAATTATGCCTCAGGTGTGTATTTAGGTATTATATATAGTATACTGCATGATACAATCATGCTATATTTGTGATGTCACTGACAAATAATACACATAAATATGGAGAAGAAATGGCCATGGTGCCATTGTTTTTATCACGATCATACCGCACACACTGTAAACTCTAAAAAGCCCTATACTACCTGAAGATGGGAATAAGAGGAGAGGCACTGTGCCTGTTGTGTGACAAAAGACAATTGGCCAACTCAAGTGTCCCCTTCCTTCTTCATTGCCCAGCTTTTCCCACATTCAGTTCTAGATGTACTCCCAGTGCCTCAAATGATTGTCCCAGTGAGAAAGAACGAGATTGCTCTTGGATGAATGGAGCAGGGAGGTCACACAGCACCAACAAACACTATTCCTCCTCTCCCAGGGAATCTTTCCTGTCTTTAGTCCGTTCTTCTTTCATTCACTCATTCATTTAACAAAGACTTACTGAATCTACCATGAGCCAGGCAATAGCTAGAAGCCTCCCAGAGATGTGGGTAAGATCCACCTGCCTTCAAAAAAGCAGTACATCAAGCCTTTAATTCTGCTTTGAGGGGGCAGGGAATAATTTACAGGGAATGAAATATGAAAAAATGAGTAGAAGTTTAAATAGTTCACAAAGAGAGCTGGAGGTGGTGGCGCAGGCCTGTAGTTCCAGCACTCCACAGGCTGAGGCAGGAGGATTGACGAAAGCTGGATTTCAGTCTGGGCTATATAATGAGTTAAAGGCCACCCTGAACTACATAGCGAGACCTTGTCTCAATCCCCCTCCCCAATAATAGTAAATAAACAAAAGGTAGACAAAGGAAGAGGGGCATTCCAGACAAAGAGCACACCCATGCAAGGTCCCAGAAGCTTGGAGAGCACAATGGTTTTGAGGATATGCATTTTCAGGGTTTGGAAGTAAGATCCACAAAGGAGGAGCAGGGAGTGGCTCAGAGTCCTATAGTCTCTCTGTGTTTTTTTGGTACTGGGGATTGAACTCCGGACCTTGCACTTGTGAGGCAAGCGGTGGAACTACTGAGCTAAATCCCCAGCCCCTATAGTCTCTCTCTCTCTCTTTTTTTTTTTTTTTTTTCTTTTTTGGTACAGGGATCAAACTCAGGTCCTTGCACTTGGGAGGCAAGCAGCAGAACCACCAAACTAAATTCCTGGCCGCTATAGTCTCTTCTAAGGAACTTCCATTTTAACAGGAACTACGAAAGTACTGAAGTGACAATGATAAGGTCAGCCTCACGTTTGAGCAGGAGCATCTGAATGACCTCACAGAAAATAAACTGAAGGGGACTGAGACAGACACTTAAACCAGAAGGCTGCTACAACCGTCCAGAGGGAATAATAAAATTCTGAATTAAGGTAATGGCAGCAGGGATATGGATAATGGAAGATATTCAAAACAGACTTATGAGGGGCCAGGGATCCAGCTCAGTGGTTCCACTGCCTGACTTGCAAGCATGAAGGATCCAAGTTCAATCCCCGGTACCAAAAAAAACCCAAAAACAAACAAATTTATGAGGTAGAAAAAACAGAATCCAATAATCAAATAGATGTAGGATGAGGAAAGGATTGCTGAAGAGCCCAACATCTCCCTCTAGTTAGATAATGAGTGGTGGTCTCAGTCAAGATACAGAACACAAAGGGAATAAAAAAAGACTGTCAGAAGAGAAATCCAGGATGAAAAGATATCATAGTTATAGGTATTGATGGTCACAGAAGGCACAGTAATTACAAGGATCTACCAAATACTCTAATATAAGGCATTGTGCTAAATACTTTACATTTTTAAAAATCTCATTTAATTCTTTTAATCAACCACAAAATAGATGTGATATGTGTTTTATGGATCTAGAAAATGGGACCAGAAAAGTTAAATAACCTGCCCAAGATCACAAGAAAAATAAGTTTTGCAACTGCTGAATTCAAGAATCCATACAAGCTTTTTTTTTTTGGAGACAGAGTCTCACTATGTAGTTGAGACTGACCTGGAACTCACTATGTAGCTCAAGCCATCTCACAGCAATCCTCCTGCCTCAGCCTCCCGAGTGCTGGGATTACAGGCATGCACCACCACCCCTGGCTTTTTTTCTTTTTTTTAAAGAGGAAGCAATGTTCAGAGAAACCCTGAAGCAACCCTAAAGGACTGAATCAGAGGCCTTCTGATCAGCACACTTCCCAGCTCCATGCACCATTACTCTCCTCCTTCCTGATCATAAGTCCTTTTGGAGGATTCACCCAGGTTACAGACGGGCCTGACAGTTTTGCTTTACAGAAGGAAAGGAAGAAAAAACATAGAAACTTAAATGATTCACCTATCATTCTCATTTTTCTCCTCAGAGCTCCCACCCTCCCTCCCTCATCCCTCATCCAGGCCCACTCAAGTGCCCATGAAGGTGTTCGTCTAAGCCCCTTCTCCAATTAGGACACTGGGGACAGGGCAGGAGGAGGAGGTTCTTCAGGAACATCTGATATGGCATACCTTTCCAAAGATCTTCTTTGAAGATGCTAGGAAAACACATTGAACAACATTGAACACAACATTAAAGCAAGCAGTTTTACCTGGGGAAAAAAAGTTACATGAAAAACTGGGCTGGCATCTGTGAAGATATTTTGTGCTGCAGGCTGCATCAAATCAGTCTCCTGTCTCCCTGCCCTTAAAGCAGTGTTAGTCTGAAGCTTTGAGAATATTTAAATGATCAACTCAGGAAGCTTTGTGCTTAACAGTGGGAAAATGTAACGTTCTGCTCTAACTACGAGGAAAGTACTGACATCCTCACAGAAAGAAGGTATTAGCAAGTAGGAATTGGCCAATAAGATCACACTCAGAGTTTATTCCAGAAATGTTCTATTCTCCATTAGGTTTTATTTTAACCTGGGGGCAGAGGAGTGTTTCCCAAAGCTAGTAACTAATTATTTTTCCTTCAGAAAGGGCATAATTTGGAACATGCATAAGTAAAGCTGGGACATACAAAAGCTGGACAGAGAATTTTTATTCTATTCTAAGTAGACACTTACCTGAGCACCTGCCATCCACAATAATACTCACATATAAAATGCCTCTCATTTACATTTCACACATAATTATTGATTTAATCCTCAGTCAAATGATGGAATCAGTAAAAATTATTACCCTCCATCTCAATCATAGAATGTGCTAGTGAATCCTGAGAGTAGCATCTTGGTAGAGTTGGATCTTAGAGTACAATTTTAGAAAGAAGTCATTCAGTGCTGGCTTCTCATTTTACAGACTGAATCCCAAGGATGTTAAGCCTCCTAAGGTCATGTCACTGGACCACAGAGCTGGGCCTGTACCAGGTCTCCTACCTCTTCCTACCAGATCAGTGGCTGCCCCCAGACCGCATACTCCAAAGACAGGAGTGGGAAGAGACCCTGGGGCCTGGACCCAGCTCTCCCACCTAAAGGTCATATGATCTGGGACAAACTGTACCTTCTCTTTAAGCTTTTGCTTCCATACTTCTAAACAATAATATTAAAAAACAACCTTATAAAATTGCTGTGATCATTAATTTTGATTACTTGCATAATTAATTTGCTCACAGTTCCTAGAAAACATGATGAAGGCACCATTACAATGAGGTGGCCACCTGAGCTAAGACTATGATTCTGAGTGAATCAACTCTGGCCTGGACTAGGACAGAGATTTTTCTCTGCATTAGCATTTTATATCAGAACCAATACCAAGAATTACTTCATTTTTAAGTTATTGAGCTGAAATTTTTATTCAACATCTTTCATGAGACTCACTCAAAAAGCCAAAATAACAGTAATATATAACACATGATGCCTACTTATATGCCAGACACGGTTCTAAATACTTGAAATGCATTTAATCTTCACCAAAACCCTGTAAGATGGTTCAAAGGTGACTGAGCTGATAAAATCTGAGCTTCCAAAAAGATATATGTAGATCAACATTGATATTAGTTCTTCACCATTTATCTGGCCATATCTACAGGTTCCAGACTGGATTTAAAATAGTGGCTCAAATAGTACCCTTTCTGATTTAATTCAAGACAGTCTTTTAGTATTCTCCAACCCTGCTGCCTACTAAAAACATCACATTTCCTCCATAGGAAGACAATGTAGTACTGACTTTTTTGTTTAATGATTTATTATGAACATTTTCAAACAGAAAAGCTGAGAGAAGGTGGTACACCCCTGTAATTTCAGCACCCTTAGAGGCCGAGGTAGGAGCCCAGCCTGGGCAACTTGGTTCAACCTGAACCTGGTTCAAGCCCAGCCTGGGCAACTTGGCAACTTAGCCAGATCTTGTTTCAAAATTTACAAGGAGGTGGGTTGGGGATTTAGCTCTGTGTGAAGGTCCCAAATTCAATTCCCAGTACTGGGAAAAAAAAAAAAAAAAAAAAAGAATATAAACTTTGGGAAAATGGTGAAGCAGACAGAAGGAAGAGAGACAGGAAAAAACAATACCAAGAACAGAAAAAAAAAAAAAAAAAAAAAGGAGAATATCACTATGCCCATGATGTACCCAGCATCAACTAATCCTCCTTTTTTAATGATCTTTTTCCTTCCTCTTCCCCATACTTCTTGGTAAAGGCTTTTTCTTTCTAAACAAGCACTACATGCATTCTCTATGGAGAACCTGATACTGATACTGAATCCCCTTCGTGTCACCTTAAGGTACAAAAATAATTCCATTTCTTCTTCTCAAAATTTCTACTCCTTTTATTCTAAGCCTGTTCCTCAGGACAGGACATCACCCTAACTCGTTTTCATCTGCCTGGCCAGCCTTTGTAGTAGCAAAAGAAAAGTGTCCACCAGGCATAATGATGCATACCTATCATCGTAGCATTCTGAGAGGCTGAGGCAGAAGGATCACAAATTCAAACCAGACTAGGCAACTCAGGAACTTGGAGAGATCCTGTCTTAAAATAAAAAAGGGCTGGGAATGGAGCTCAGTGCAAAAGGCCTAGATTTAAGCCCCAGTACTGAATAAGAAGAGATGAGAAGAAAAAAAGAGAAGTGTCTGCAGGACTTTAAACATCTAAATGACAATGATAACAATAAATTCACCAGAGAAGGTTAGAGGTAAAAGCATTCTCCAATATGAATATTCTTCTTGGCAGATGGGTAAACAGCCTGTGCTCTGAGCTCTCCAAAGCCCAAGAAATACACTCAGGAAATTAAGACAAGATGCATGGAAAAACAAGCTCCATTTCAGCACCTCTATTCCTTCCTACCTTATCTTCCCAGATCTCTCCTGGAGGCATTAGCCTTAGCCTATCTCAGAAGCATTTCAGATCTCTATTGCAGTGTGTAATGACTGCTTCGCTGTTGCTGTTGTTGCTACTGGCATACGTTTACAGTTCATAAAGTTTACATTCATCTTAGGGAGTAAGGACCTGTACAGCACACATCTTGAGTCTTTTTTATTCCCCTTCCCTTCCTCCCCACCTCCCTCCATCTCTACCTTGCCTGTCCCCATTTTCATTACAGTTATTTTTTTAGTTTATGTTTCTGACGATTAATGTTTACATTCATTGCGGTCATCTGGTACAAATACCTCACACAACATCTTCTTACTTGACCTTCCTGTCCCTCCTTTCCTCACCTTTGGTTCCCTGGACAACGTCTATCTCCCTGTTTCCTTCTATGGCTCCTTTGTTTCTCTCTTTATTTATACTTTGCCTTACTCCAATGAGAGACGCTATATGGTATTTACGCTTGTGTGGCTGATCTATTTTATTCAACATTGTATTTTTCAGGTGGGCCCATTTTCCTGAAAATGCCTCTGCTGATTTTTAAACCCTCGAGGGCAAAGACTGAAGCTTCCCCACAAAATTTAATAAAGTACCTGATAAATCCAGATCACAGATCTGTAAAGCTAACAGTTCTCCTTCTTCTCGGCCCAGCTACAGAACCTCAAGCCCATCAGACTATTTCCCTCCCTCTTTCTACAATCCCTGGCTGCCTCGCCGCTGCTTTGGAAGGATGCAGGACGAAGAACACAGGACAGGAATTCAGGAAGACCGAGTTTGTGTCCTGGCTGCCAAATTTGTTATACGTGACCTCGGACACATCTCTTCTTTCCAGGGTCTCCATACCCCGACCCGTGCGGTGAGCGGGTTATGGAGAGGCCCCGTGGATCCTGCCTTCTCTCCAAGGTCCTCATCCGCAGGTAACACCCAGCCCGGCCTCGTCCCTCCCACGGTGCTCTGGGTCAGGTGGGGTCCGCTCCCCACGCGGCTCACATTCCAGGGCAATGAACACTCACCTCCCACTCCCAGATTGACCTTGCGGGGGTCAGGATCCTCCCGGAAGTCGGCAATGAGCTTGAAGACCAAGACCGGCTGGGCCTGCGGAACCTCCGCAAAAACTGAAGGAGGAGCCATAGCTACAGAGCAGGAATCCTCCGAGTTTACAGCGCCGCTCCGGGAGCACCTCGGTGGGATCTGCGCTCAGTGACCGGAGGAGACTCTCACCTTCACCGAGCTAACGAGCCGGGCCAGCCCGCGGCCTCCAATGGTCGAGCCGCGTCGGGAATCTTGGCAACGCGGTTAACCAATCATGAGCCTCTGACTATGACGGGTTCTTAGGGGAGGGGGCACGAATAGCCAGTCCAAGAAGAGAGTCTTATCGGAGCCGGTAATGATGCAACCAATGAAATTTATGCTGGTGGAGGTGTGGGCAGACGCTAGAGTTGATTGGCAGAATGTGCCCCAATCGCTAAAGCTATTATTCCTTGGGGGCTGAGGAACGAAACCCAGCGGCCGGAGGCCAGAGTCCTCAAGGAGCTGCCTTCTGACCTTCTAGGAGACGGTTGCGTGGTGACTGCGGAAATTCCAGAGGACTTATCATTCTGTACCCATTGAGTAGGTGTTCTCCCTCCCTGCCAATCAGTGCTCGCGTTCCTGACAACGGCCAGGTTGGGCTGGTAGCCAGATAAATCCCTGGCGTTTGTTAGGAGGCCACGCGAGCGTCCTTGACCATCTCCGCCGCCTGTTTCCCCAAAGGAAATATGGATGTGCTGCTGGCCTTAGTTGCTGGTGGGGAGATCCTACTAAAAGTGAGGGACGCCACGAATCCGTTTCGGACTCTATTCTGGCTTGAGAGTTTTGCTCCCCAGTTCCTTATAGAGGGGCCTGGTCCTCAAGGACCTTAGGGATCTGGACCGAGTCTTCCTCTCTCTCTTTCCTCTCACGCGTGCACGCAAGCAGACCGTGCTGTCATTAGTTGGCTCGGACCCAAACCTACTCTTGTCAGGCTGTACCTTTTAGGTTCCTTCTTCCCCGGACCTCTTTGCCTCCTGTTGACCTTGAAGATTCAGAGTAAATGCCAATGCTTCATAAAGCCTTCCCTTAATGCTCACTCTAATCAAAATCTGTTTTGATTCTAATCAAAATCTCTTGATTTTCTGTTCTGCACCTATCTGGTGGGACATATTACAATTTTAGAAAATGCTCTTGTGGAACCTAGCTCTGACAGCAGACTACCTAGGTTTAGGTTGTGGTTGTCATTTACTCACTTGGGCAAGTTTAGGCCAGTTATTTAACCTCTCTATTCTGCTCTGTAAAATGCAAATAATAGTATTTTCCTCAGGGTTGTTGTGGGCATTATGCGAGTTTGTATACATTAAATGTGTATAACAAACAGTACCTAAATGTTAGCTATCGTTATCATGCCACACCTGCCTCACCCTTTCTAGAAAGGTATGTTTGGGGCTTCGGAATCTAGCCCTGTGTACGCCTCCCTCAGTTTCTTACACTTACTACCAACAAACACTGGAGTCACGTCTCCTGGTGCTTCAGAAAAAAGACAATATCATGACCTGTTCATCAGATAGTACGACAAATCTTAGAAAGAGTTTTCCATTCAAAGTAATAAACACAAGCCAAAGAACTATGCAGCACGTGTCAACCTTTTGTATCATCTACTTCTTTTCAGAAACTTTGCCTCTAGTTTCAAAGATAACTCCACGGAGTGTTTCATTAACAACACTTTCCTCCGGGAACTGTAAATTAACACTGAAGGTCAAATGACAGGGACCTTTCAGTGTTTCCAAAAGCAGAGGCAGAGGGCAACTATTGAGAAGGGTGTTCCAGAGCACAGATATTCCCAGCATTTGGTTAGAAGTGTGCTTTTCACAGCGCTGCCCAACAATACCATGGTCACACCCTGCGTCACTCCCAGTAAGAAAAACCACCCTAGGTTTCCTAAAGCACTATCAACTTGGCTAAGACCAAATAAATACTTATTGATAACCTAAGCAACTCCATAATCAAGCCAGTGCTGATGGGACAAAGCAAGTGTCATCTGAAGTTTTTCAGTGCCTAGGATAGCTGCTGTGAATTCTAGAAAGGGCAGTTCCTGGGGGTGGGTAAGGGTGGGGAGAGAAGCTTATATATTATGAGGTCCAAGTCTCAATTTTATTCCTTGGGAATGTGAGGTTTTTGGAGATTGAGTTCCATACCATTCTGTCTTGACCCCAGTAGGCTGCCCCCTAAGTAAAATACCAGTCTTGAAATAAACAAAATGCCTTCCAGGTCATTGCTAATATTAACACTTTGACTTAGAATTGACTCAATACTGCCTCCTTGCTGAAGGAATATGTCAAACAAAAAATTCCAGAGCCTAGCACTGTGCAAACAAGTAGGCGACCCGTAAAGTGAGTATGGGGAAAAGACCCTAAGAATCACAAGAAAAGGGGGCTGGTTTCTCATTGCTTTCTGATTTCCTTATAACTATCATTTAAAGCATCCCTCATACGTCTCCTTGTCTTCTTTCATTTTCTTGTCTTTTTTTTTTTTTTTTTTTTTTTTTTTAGGATGCAGGTCTGGCCTTGTTGCCTGGGCTGGTCTCAAATGCCTGGGTTCAGGTGATCCTCCCACCTGAACTGCTCCAGTAGCTGAGATTACTGATGGTAATGTGTACTACCACCAGCTTGCAATCTCCCTTTGGACTTTTTCTCCTTCTCTTTCCTTGATAAGAACTGAAAAACAGGAACTGGGAACCCACACAGCAATAGCTATAGATCTGGAATGAATTCTCTTAGAATATATTTTCCTGGAAATCTGAAGCTTTCAGGACCATGCAGTACTGTCCCAGGGAGAACAGCTGTGGGCACTGCCTGGGCCTCTAAATAAATTCACACCTGTATATTTTACTCAGTCTTGCCCCTGAACATCCAAGAGGTTCACACTTAGGAACAAGTCAGAGGAGGGAGGAGCTTGTCACCCTTTGCACTCAAGTACAAGGTGCTTTGGGATGGTTATATTTGGGTGTAGACTGTCACTAAGGCTAGGGTATTATGTGGTGCTGAGTTGTGTACTGGGAAAGTGTTTCTTTGAAAAATCAAAGCTATAGGCTGAGGATGTAGCTCAGAGGTTGAACACTTGCCTGGCATGCATGAAGGCCTAAGTTCAATCCCTGGCACTGCAAAGAAAAAAGAACCCAAAGCTGTAAGAGGATATGTGTTCAAGAGGGTGTGGCTGAAGAGTGGGCAATAAGTACAGACAAGCACAGCTAAGGAACATGACCCCTCCTTCCACATTAACTGGCTTGTGTCCTGGATGTGCCTTGTAGACTCCTGTTTCCTTGCTTTTCCTCCTTGGATTCTTTCCTTCCCTCCACAGCCCACACACATGACACACACACAGACAACAGAACTGAAAACTACTGATGATTTCATTTACTTGTTGATCATAAACAAATTCTGTGGCAACACTTAGAAATTGTGCTGTGGGCCAGGGATTTAGCTCAGTGGTTCTGCCGCCTGCCTTGCAAGTTCAATCCCCGGTACCAAAACAAAAAAACAAAAAAACAAAAAAAAAGAAAAGAAATTGTGCTACTGTGGCTTTTGTCCTTAAGAAGTTATATAGTGTAACGATTAAAATGTTGGCCTCTTGTACTGGATTTCCTCTGAAGGCCTGCATTTCCTCATCTGCAACATGAGGATAATAATAGGTCTAAATCATGGGATTGCTGTGAAGATTAAACGACTTAGTGTAATGAAATATTCATGTAAAACTCTTTGATTGGTATCTGACAAAGTTTGAAGTCAGTGTTACCAGCGCTCATTATCACCCTCATCATGGATATAGTTTACAAGCACTTGGCTTTGAGGTTTACTTACTTTTTATAATTGCATGATAAGCAGCATAGTAGAATTGAACCTGGAATCAAATTTTAGCTTTGCCTCTTACTAGTTTTGTTTATTTGTTTCAGACTAGTTTTGAAACTGAGTAAATTACTAACATGCCTGAGTTTTAGTATTCCAACTGTGAGTTGAAAGCAGACAATATAATTTTTTAAAATATCTAGAGCAGGGCTGGAAGTGTAGTGCAGTGGTACATTGCTTGCCTAGCATAGGCAAGGCCCTGGGTTCAATCCAGTACTGCAAGAAAGAGAAGAAAGCGGAAAGGATGTAAAGAAATAAAGAAGGAAGGAAGGAAAAAAGGAAGGAAGAGAGAAGAAAAAGAAAAGAAAGGGCTGGGGATTTAGCTTAGTGGAACCACACCTGCCTCACAAGTGCAAGGTCCTGAGTTCAATCCCTGATACCCCCCCCAAAAAAAAAGGAAAGAAAAATGTAGAGCCTTCCAAGAAATTGTTGTAGAGATAAATTCTCAAAGCAATTTAAAGATAGCAAGATAACGTAATTAAAATGTAAATATCTTAATATTAGCCCTTGTATAGTGTGCAGTTATATTTCTATATTATTTTTTTCTGAATAGAAAGTGTTTTGGAAACACCATTCCACTATTCTCAGCCTGAGAGCAACTGTCATCTCCACTCAAAACAAAACAAAACAAAACAACAGCAACAACAACAAAAAAACAACACACAGGAAGAAATAGATTAGCAAAAAAAGAAAAAAAAAGAAAAGAAAAGAAAGACACTCCAAGAGCTAGGGGATGTAGAGCAGCACAGCACCTGCCTGATAAGTGCAAGATCCTGAGTTTGAGCCCTGGGTTAAAAAAGAGAGAGAGAGACACCAGACAACAGAAGAATTAGAAGGCTATAAATCTTAAAGTCAAAAGACATCTTCTTTTGGGAAGGAGAGTGTGGGTCACCTCTTAAAATCCTTAATTTTGGTACACGACAGATGTAAGTGAGATAATGAAGAAAGCAAATTCGTTAATTTGCCAAAAATATATTATCTTTAAAATCCTGCTTAGTGTGGTAGTGCACACCTGTAATCCCAGCACTCAGGAGGCTGAAGCAGGAGGATCGCCACAAGTTTGAGGCCAGCCTGAACTACACAGGGAGACCCTGTCTCAAAAATAAAAAATAAAAATAAAACAACTCTTAAAGGGCATAGTTTAAAACAGTGTAATAGAATGTCTTAATCTATTGCTCACAGCTAGTAGGGATCTGTTTCTAATACTAACATCTTACAGTAGAGGGCAGCACTGTCCTTTTGCAGAAAAACCCTCGCGAAGGAAAATAAAAGCAAAGCTTCTCATTATGTTTGTTTACCCTTTTAAAATTAGAGGGCTTCTTCCTTGCTTTTTAGATTATTGTGTAGAAAGAACGTCAGA